ATATATATCTTAATATTCCAATAATTATGTAAATTTCGTTTTTTTTACAAACAAAACATCCTCCAATTTTCATGCCTGTTGCCGCAATCGACCTAAGGAGCGATCTCGTTGCCGCGGGCCAAGACTGATAGAGCAGATAGCGAAGCCTAATTCTGGAGCTTGAGCGTACACTTCAATATGAGTATCGGAGATCGATGCTGCTATACTGACTTGCATATCTCAATCTGCTCAGCGACAAGTTATCCGACTCAAGCATAAGCCGCTGTTTCTTGATGAGAAATTTGCAGTCAATTGCGTTCACGAGGTTCGGTATTAGCTACATGCACTGCTTGCTAGGCCGTTTGCAATTTATAGAACATTATTGAACTATTGACTTATTAACATTTTATTGAGTTCTGGTTAACCATCGTTTATGTCTAATTGTACTATATTATTCTATATATTGTTCGTGCATAATAATTTTTATATGATATTCCGAAACAGAAATCATAAAATTACGATGCAAATATAGTTTCATTTCATTTTCGAATTTTAAAAATTTTGATTACTTCAAATTAATATTACTGGGAAGACATTAATGCGGCAATATAAATCGACTACTTCTCTTTTTTCCTTTCATTGTTATCGCTTGATGGAAGCTCTAAATAGCAATCAAAAATGCATATTCAAGGCTGCTTAATTTATTTTGCAATTCGTTGAACTACAATAGAATTAATGTCCGTAATATTTACTTCCATAGTAGGCATTTCTGAATTATTTCTACTGGACTTTAAAATAAGTTGTAATCATAGGAAACTTATAGTCAGTTCATGAAATGAGTATAACAATGATTAAAACATCAATGACGTTATTTGGCTTCATTCAATGAATAGAATTCACTTTTGCGTTTCGTTTAAAAGGGCGATAAATGTTCGAAATAGCTGTTCATATCGTTAATAATATGCGTTTCAAAATTACTTTTTAAAGACAACACTTCTTATGAATACAGTGTCTCCGATGTTACACATCTACAATGAATTTCTAATTTTATTTCCATGTAGTAGAAAAATAAATTTTTGAATTTTTTGTTATATATGAAGGAAATTTAAATTTACAAATTTGTTTATTCTGTCAATTGATTCACGCATTGTCTCCGACTTTACGCAAGTGTGCAAAATTTCAGATCGATTGGACAGGCAGAAGTATGTTGATACATTGATTATAAATTGTTAAAAGACAAAATTATTTTTTTCAATTTTTTTAATGTCAAAAAAATTATATATTTAACATTTTTAAAATTATTTATTTTGTCAATTGATTCATGCATTATCTCCAACTTTACACAAGTGTGCAAAATTTCAGATCGATAGGAAAAGTAGAAGTTTGTTAAATTTCGATTATAAGAGTTGTAGCAGACAGACAAACAAACAACATGAAGTGAAGTTAAAGAGAAGTGTTGTATTAATATACGTTTAAAAATTACTTTTTAAAGACAACACTTCCAAAGAATCCAGTGTCTCCAATCTTACGGATGTACAATGAATTTCTCATTTAATTTTCGAATATTAAAAAATTAATTTTTCAATTATTGATAATATATAAATTTTTGTAATATATAATTTTTTTCTAAATTATTTATTCTGTTAATTGATTCATGCATTGCCTCTGACTTCACACACGTGTGCAAAATTTCAAAACAATTAGACAGGTCAAAGTGTGTCAAATATTAGTTGTAAGATTTGTAGAAGACAAAATTATTTTTTAATTTTTTTAATATTGAAAAAATAAATTAATTTTTAAAATAATTTATTTTGGCATTTGATTCATGCATTGTCTCCAACTTTACACAAGTGTGCAAAATTTCAGATCGATAGGATAAGTAGAAGTGTATTAAATTTCGATTACAAGATTTGTAGCAGACAGACAAACAAACAGACAAGAAGTGAAGTTAAAGAGAAGTGTTGTAAAAAAGACGATAATTTTGAAGATTCTGTTTAATTTTCAAGTTGAAGTTTTTCAAGGCAAACTAAAACATATTGACTTTATTCGAAGTCTCACAGAACATGTCATACAAACTCATTTTATATTATCTCTTTTTATTTTACGGATGATATGTTTTCAGAAGTAAAAGGTCCGACAATTTCAAATCTGCTTGAATTTTTATAATTATTGTTACAGTATATTTTAAAAATAATATTAATACATAAGTAAGTATTTTAATGATTTCCTTCGTCTTATGCGCAAACTGTCCAGAATATTCACGCCACTTTTTAAGAATAATCTCGACCCATGAATAGGGAATGGCGGCTTTTGGCCTGCTTTATTTTGATGCTTTATTTTAAAAATCAACAGTTTGGACGCGACAGTCGCTTTAGAACCTGCTGCACGAAATAAGAAATTGCGCTGCGTGGAGCTGAGATTGATCCAGTGATTTGGAAATTTTATTCTAAATCGAGCAACGAACAATTCTCGCGAGCCTTCCAGGCTTGAATAAACTAAAGCACTTAACATACGCTATTTTATTCAATAGCGACCCCTGTCCAGAAGTTTTTGGCGATATAAAAATACTCTTAGCCTCCGAGCCAAGTAACTCTTTTATACCACCATGTATTATTCTGGATAAAAATAACCAATCTTATTTGACAGGCAGCGAATAAATTTTACATTAGAATATTTATTTCAAATGGATTTGAAACTAAATCTTGCGTGCTCCATACTTGCCCGAAAATGGGAAATAAATTATTCTTCACGAATCAAAAAACCATCGGAATTTTACGTAGAGTCTACAAAAATTAATAGGAGGACAAGCAGGTGCAAAAGTATCAATTAACTGAATTAATGCCTTTACTGTCTGAAACCTTTAACTGGAACACCTTTGGAAAGCCCGTAGATCGGTGTATCGGCCGAATAGTTTTCGGTGCAAGAAAATTTACTCCATTTTTTCAAAAACCAAGTATCGCCCAGAATTCACATAAGTATCTCATAAAACTGCACTTTTCGTTCAACATCAAAGTTCCGTGTTTCTGATACGATCTACGCTGCACAGCCGAGATTATTATTTTCCACGAATTCTATCTCAGGCGAATTTAGTTGGTTTTTGTAGGCAGGACGCCGAGCAGGTAGGCAGTCCATCGCCCCTGCCGAGCACTCAAAAGCCTGGCACTTCACACAATATTGCCTATTACGGCAGTTCTTTATAGGCCACATGAACACCCGATCATTTTTTATGGTCGCTTCAAGAGAATGAGGATAAATTCAAACCATAAAGAATTTAGGTGGGAATATCGCTTCCTGGGCGATAAATTTTCCTCTTGCTCGCGGGAAGCAGCCTAAATAGTTCAGCCAGTAAACGCTTTCCGACTTTGAGACACTTGGACGTCTCATGGAATGCTACGTTATTTTTTAGATTTTGTAGCTCTTTATTTAATAGCGTTCTGTTCATTTTATACTCTCATATCTTGTGTGGAATTTAAATAGAAAGCGGTGGCTGAAAATAAAACTTTTGATAGTCCACAAATGTGCGAACAACTTGGGAAGAAATTTTTCATTGTAAAGACATTTAATAGGACGCGTAAATAAGATGATTAATAATGATGGGGAGTCATGTGAAGTTTAAAAGCATCTGCATTTCATCACCTACAAAATTATGGCATAAATGCCTGAAAAATCGAACAGAAAATTACTAGTTATCAGAGGCGTATTAGTGATTAATTTACGCTCTGTTAATATGCGTAAAGTTTATTCGACGGAAAGAATTTAACCTACTGAAAGAAGAATGCACTTCCAAAATTATCATAATAAGGTAAGAGTCATTCTCATGACTCATTCAATGTTCGTCGGCCCCTAGTTAAGTGGTTTCATTTCATCGTTTCTTTTAATTTTCAATTAAAAAAGCACGATTATTAATATTTTCATTTCATAACCTAATACTTCGGGACAATAGTAGATAATTTTACTTACATTTTACGAGTAGAGTTATTTACATGTAAATTTCTCTTGTTAGTTTTAAAAATTTATTAAAATCAAAGATAACAAAAACCTTTCCTTACATCACACAATCTTTAATTCACATTTCTTACGCTTCTACGACTCAGATTTCAAAAGTTCACTCATGATTTTGCTAGAATTTTAATACGTAAGTAGCCACGCGAAATATATAGCTTTCAGTGCAGTCGAATACACTAAGGAGTAAATGTTGCTTAAATCGAACAAGCATATTTCATAACTTTCCGCGAAGTTGCTTGCTACAAGTTTAACGAAACTCTGAGTACTTCTCAATTCAATTTGCCAGGCTTTTGGTCATGCGAGTTCGGACCACGAATTCTGTAACAGTATTGTGTTACGTATCATGAGCTGTGTGACGATCATGAGAAACGGGTCATTATCTGTATACAAATCTTGTGTAATGGATCATTAAATTTGTGTCAATCTTGTGTAACGTATCGTGAACTAGGGGAAAATTTTGTGTAATGTCTCATGAACTGTGTGACAATAATTTGTAGCATATCACCTGTGTGGCGATCATATATAACTTATCATGAAATACATGACAACGCCACACAAGTTTGTTGGCAGCTTAGCTGCATTGAAGGTCCATGCGCCTAAGCTGTCGTGTGAAATAAGCCGACATGAGTGAAATTCATGAATTGGCTCATGAGTAGTTTGTTGGGTAGCTTCAAAGTAACTCAATGATTTAGTATTAATTTAATCTAGAAAATATTATATTATTCTTCGATAATAGTTCGTCTATTATGGGAGCCGAGGCAAAGATATCCCTGCATTCCAAACTGATACTTTATGTCATACAAAATAATGAATAATGAACAATTGCCATCTATATCGACTTGAAAAATAAAAAATATATAATACCCACCAAACAAGCTCTCGAAATTTTTAACTTGCCGTTCTGAATTCTTTCTAAAATTATTTTTACGATATCACTTTCAATGTTCGTTAAAACTAGTCACGTAATTTGATATAAAAAGAACACCTCCTAAAAATTTGTCCTTAATATTTTCCAGTGTCCGTCAAAGGAAGCGCAGTGGATGGCTTGAGCTCCAGTACGAGGCTGCCGGTGCAGGAACTCAGCGAGGCGTTCACAGAAACTTCGTTTGCTGTGGACACGACCCTCGAGCACGTCCTGCCTGCCATCACGGATGCTCCTCGAACCGAGAAGACGAACGTTCACAGCAGCGATGACTTTGTCTACCACAACATCATAACCAATCCCAACGATGGCGACGTCGTGGCTGGTAAAGATTACGGATTTGACTTCCCGACCAACGCTCAGGATTCTTTTGACTCGCCCGATTACGTGCTTGGTCAGAACGTCGTTGATTACGGTAGAGGTTATGCTTTTGGCGCTGCAGGTGACCCATGGAACTCTGTGACGATGGTCGATGGGAACTTGGAGCCACTCGAAGAGGAAGTTCCCTTCTTTGATGACAATTCCCCCACACAAGTGACGGCTGCGGTCGGGGCTCCAGCTCACATACCTTGCATGGTGCGCAACCTCGGCTCTAAGTCGGTGAGTTTACGCATTCAAAACTGAATAAAATGCGCTGATATTTTTTTGTTCACTAAATTTATGTCTTTTTGTGCCATATTAACTACAATTTTGTAAACAAGTAGCGTAGTGAAGGCGCTGAAATAGGAATTAGATAGGCATACATGTAGGGAGTCCGTCTGTGTAAAAGATCTAACATAAATATTGTAGCAAATACGTAAACAAATCCACATAATATATACTATCTTGCGCAGCTGTCGTGGATTAGGCACCGAGATCTCCACGTCCTAACCGTTGGATCCTTCACGTTCGCCAACGACCATCGCTTCTCTGCTCATCGCGACCAGGCGACAGGAGACTGGGTTTTGGTTCTCCGCAAGCCCGAGCCTGCGGACTCCGGCCTGTACGTGTGTTCCGTGTCGACCAAGCCTGTCATGACGCATTCCGTCAAACTCAGCGTTGTTGGTGAGTGAATTGTGAGATATTAAAGTACAGGCAGATCAATTCAAATATTTGGCCTAAATGAAATTCATGATAGGAAGATGTATTGGCCTCAATAAGTGTTATTGGTGTGAAAATTTTAATTATTTCAACCCTTTAATGACAGATTGGATCTAATATTCGAGCTGACAAAAATTTTCGATCAGTTAATAAATTAGCCACTTTCATTATCAATTAATAAGTTTCAAAGTTATAAATGATCTCCTTGGCCCAAATACAGGGTTAAAATAAATTAGGTTGACCATTTTCGTGGATTAAGTATTTTAATTTTTAACCTTTCCCGAAATCCAGTATGTAAACTATTTATATAACTTCAATATAAACAACATCTAGTAGCAAGAAATTCCCAGACATTAAAATTTCTGTTCATGTTGACACCGAATTAACACTTGATGGTCAACTTATTAAAACTTAGATGAAGATATTCTAATTATTTCTAAAACAAAATATCAGCGTCGACATAATTTGTGTAGCAATCTAATTGTCTAAAGAATTCGTCCACAAAGTATAGAAATTTCTTCACCGTGTATTCAGTATTCAGTGATGCTAGCCGAAGCACATTCAGCCAATATTCACGCTAAGTGAGTTCGTTGTAAGTCATTATCTCATCGATGAACGACCTCAATAAACAGTCTGCAAGTGATAAATAATCCACTAGAAATGAAGAAGTACCTAATTAATGAAAGGCTCGTAACTAATGAGAGTCTTGCATTCTTTCTCCAGCAGCTCTACTTTATGTCCCAGCGTGTACGATGTCAATGCTTCAGAAGATAACATTAATAAAATAGGTTTATCGTGTAGTCGCCTTAAGCCTATGTCACTCATTTTCATTATATGCATTAGGTTTCTTGCAACAATAAGAAGTTCAAAGTAACGAAAACGCTTGGTAATTCGCTGTATTTTCATTGAAAACGTTTCCAAGATCATTTCTGCCCTCAGTTCACAAGATTATTACAAAAATTAGCAAAAATTAGATACGGTTCAATCATGATGTGCTGAACTCACTTGGCGTTTTCTTTGATTTTAAGTTCTTGGTGAAATGGCAATGTAAGCCAGCTGAATATAGAATTATTCATGTAACATTGTATAGTTATGTACGATATGCACTAATATTTATTAATGATTAATTTTAATATACCATATGTTATTAATTATATTTCAATAATAATAAATTTTAAATCAGATCGATTTTAGGGGACCGTCTAACCTAAAATTTTCAATTTTGGCGTTTTCCACTTTTTGGGCTCATCTTAAAGCTCACTTTTCAACGCATTCAACGGTACCAGAATCATTAGATTTTCTATAGTAACCGTTATTTTTCCGTTTTCTATGAATATCACGTTTTCTATCAATTTTTTCGAAAAATTCATAGAAGTAAAATGTTTTTATTTTTACATTTTACGTTTGAATGTGAAGTTTCATGATGATCGGATAATAACTTTAGGAGTTATAGGCTATCTCCAATTTAGGTTAGACGGTCCCCTTTATCATCGCAGGCAAATTTTAATCGAACTCTTATATGTTCAATAGTCTTATTTTTCGTGCGGACATCTCACATAGATATTCAATTGAGATATAAAATCACACAGAACACAAATTAAAGAAATCAGGCCTAACGTTTCTTCGTTTTTCTACGCAGGTAAAAAGTTGCCATTGTCTATTTTTATTCGGTTACTGAATACGGCGTGAAGATCAAATAAAATATCTATAAAAAAAACTCAATCAGTTTAAAAATTATATTCGTGCTACATAAAAATTTGATAGAAAAATTAAAATTCCTAAGAGATTAATTTCGATGAATTGTTTTAAAAGTATCATAAATTATTCCCACAATATTATGAATGACGCAAAATGGAATAGACTTGTAACAAGAAACTACGTAAGCATTTACATTAATGCTGGACTTAGAAGAGTATTAATTAGAATTCATTTTAAAATAATTTATATAATAATTTATGCAATAAATTTAGAATATCATTAGAAACATGATAATAAATGATGCTGGGTATAATGACAGATAATATAATATCGATAATTGGACGTGCTTCTTCTCAGCTTGGCCTGAAACGTCTCTTGAGATAATAACTATCAATGTGGCTTATCTTTATATACTTCTTCTGAAATCCTTTCATAAGAGTTCTTCGGAAGCTGGATGTACCGTTGAATTGCCCAATACTCCTCTGCTTTTTAAAATAGAATTTCTGTAAAAGTCCTAAGCCGATTAGTGTAATCTCTTCTAGGAAGCATTCACGACTGCGATTCCTTTTTCAAATATCTGCGATTTCTCGGATGGCTAACTACATTTCATTCAAAACTCGAACAAATCATATCAGGCTTTCAGGATTTCCGCCCAAATTCTTTTTTGATAGCCTGCAATACCAATCGATTTTTCCGAAATTTTCGTTTAAAAATCATTCATCATTCTAACCAGCCGTGTAATCTTCAATGTTGTACGATGATGATTGTATTTGCTTTCCAAAATGAAACGGAGCGAGATCATCGATTGTATACAATTTGCGAAAAATAAACTTGGTATCCATTCAACCTTGGTTCCCGTAAAATATTCGCAGATTATTTATTCCAATAACCATTTGCTCAGCTGGTGTTCTTCCTCTGGCTAAACAATCCCCTTAAGAAAGCATACACTTTCTATTTTCTATTAAATGCAACATCCTCCTACATTCAGTAGCTTTGAAAGAAACAAAGTCAATAATCTCTGGAAAAATTGTTCTCATCAGCTCTAAGAGGAATATTGAAAATGCAAAAATCATTTCAACTACTAACATTTATAAGAAAATTTTCTTCCATTTCTACGTCTCCAGCTTCTATAATTTATGGTATAAATGCTCACGGTAATACGCTTCAAAAATTCTCTAGCGTTACCTCACAAAAAGTAAATAGTTCTATGTCAATGCTTTTCACCACATATATACCAATCCTTTATTCAGTAGGCACATTGAATGCTTTAGTGCGCGTCATTCAGGATCATTTATTATTCAAACAATTATTATCCCTAAATATTGTCACGATGTTTGTTTCTTTGCACAGTTCCATCAGCGGAGATGATAGGAGGCCGCGAGGTGTTCCTGGACCACGGTAGTACCCTGAACCTGACGTGCCTCATCCACTACTCGCCCTCACCTCCAGAGTTTGTGCTCTGGTACCACAGGGACAAGGTGTAGTGTCAAGAGTTGGTCTTTATAATCGTAGTATTTAATGTTAATATAACGTTGTGAAATCAAAGTGTATCTTTCAATATTACGAATATCATTCACTACTTCCTTTAATATTTCGCATCGAGACCTCAGTCATAAAGTCAAAAAAATTGTTCACTGAAGATGAAGTCTCAATATATTTTAAGTATTCTGACGCAGTAAAATTCAACTAAATACTTAAACTATGTTAAAAAATCATGTTTGAATATTGCAGATAGTAACCGTTAACATGAATAGTTATAAAAATATTAAAGGAATAAAAAACTCGTAAAGGATCTTACTGGCAAATATTCCTTAGCAACTTCGGATTGAGGAAACAACTGTTAGTGGCACCTACCTTCCCCTTCATTTCTTCCTCAATAATTTAGGTTCCTCACAAAACCTCACGCATTCAGCTCGGCTGTTTACCTGATTGTGTCCAAGTCGCCGTGAAAAACCTCCCTAAATTGCCCAATGTACAGCAAATCAATATCGACGCTTTGGAAAAGAAGGAGAATTGTACTGAAAGCAGCAGTGATTACAAAGGGGGAAACCTTACTATTGGCTGACGCTTTCATTTGTTGAACGACCCGATGTAATCCCTGGTTGACAAAGCCCCAGCAGAAGAACAAGCACTTGTCCCACAGCAATTCTCATCTGGTGTGTTTGTTGCTAGCATCGTAAAGAAGATCCCCTGACGATAGGATGGGTCCTTCGAACGCTCCTGAGACGGTTACAACCCTGCTCTGAGTGGTAGCTTAGAATCGTTGTTGAAACGCGGATTGCTCCTTGAGCATGGAGGCTCTTGGTGCGAGTTAGAGCGTCTCCATCGAATACAAGATTACCAAAGAAGGATCAAGCCTCAATTACGAGCGCCGAATCGCGCCTTTATGACATCAAGTCTGTCTAGCAATGAGGATTTCAAGATTCTTGTCACGAGATCATAAAGACGTGGTCGTCATCAAAGAAACCTGCAAGTTGTTTTCATGAATGTAAATATGAACGATTTAGACAATGACTCAGTTTAATGATTTTTTTTAATTGAAACAAAAATTAAGATTTTCCGATTAGCAAAATGTAGCTATGTAATGGAGTATTTAGAAAGGTTTCACCTGAAGTTGTATTGAAGGTTACATTTTTTTGCAGATTTTGCAATGAGAGACTTTCGTGTGTTCAAATGGGCGTCTCAAAAACAGTGTTCGAAATTTCATTCGACTAGCATTGATCTAAATATTTTCTTTCATATAGTCAGAAATATCGTAGATTTGTTCTAAATGCCTGTGATTATATCGGGCACGGTAAGTGCCCCGTTAGCTCAGCTGTTTAAGGTAAATGTAATTATCTAAATCTTTCTCAAAATTAAAAGTTAGATCTCCGGTCATAAAATATTTCTATTTTACAAAAAGTCATGCTATTTATTCAATATCTGCTGCACGAATATTTCGTTTATTATTTTAGAGAAATAAAAGATTTAGAATGCCAGGAGAAAGTTGCAATACATGAAAGAATAATTTCATTTTTATGTACAGGAGGCAAAAACAAGGTAGACAGCAACCATTTATTGGTACGCAAGACTTCAGTTTGTATTCACAACGCAAAATTTGTTGTAAAAACTTTGTCTTGGGTAAAGAACTTTGATATGCTCAAAATTCAGATTTAACTGCAAAGAACATTTTCCTGTTTGAATGGAAACGCGAATTCGCACTCGGAATGAACTAATCATTTTTGTCTGACATTGAGCATAACTAAAATCAACATCGCTCGAAATACGCTAAAGAGGTCATATTTTCCACAACCCAGTGATCGAAATTTCTAATTTTTTCATACGGAGTCATGCCGCACTAGGCTAGTGCATGAACACTAGTTTCTTGTTGCATCTCGTTCGCGAAACATAATGGTATGCACAGCAATGTCACGTATTATGGCTCAGGCGACATCATTTTCTCAAGTGAACTTCAGTGGCAGGGGATGTTATATATTGATCGAGACTGTGCACCCCGTTTTATACACATCACAATGCTGCCTCCACTTCATGTTATACTCATAACAATGCTCCCGTCACTTTTCTTTGTACACATCACAATACTCCTGCCACTTCACTTTATACACATCACAAAACTCCTGCCACTTAATTTGATTCACATCAGAAAACTCCTACCACTTAACTTTTATACGCATCATAATACTCGTGTCACTCTACTTTACACGTATTACTATGCTCTTGTTACTCTACTTTATACACATCACAATACTCTTGGCACTGAACTTTATACATATCACAATGTCACTTCTTTTTCACTTCTATCTCTCCCTCGTGTCTCTACTTATCACTTATCCGCCACAAGCTCGTGAACTACGGAGGTCGTGGTGGGCGCGTCGAAGTCGAGACTGTGCACCACGACACGACGACTCGCTCGTCGCTGCTGGTCCGCAATGCCACTCAGTGGCACTCTGGCCGCTACTCCTGCCAGCCCGCCAACGCACAGCACGTCTCAATCCTCGTACATGTTCTCAAGAGTGAGTTATACAGTGTTCCATGCTCTCAATGTTAATTATCGTATGTATCATGGTAATTAAAACATATCACAATGATAATAACCAAGAGAATATTCAGTGACGGCTAAGGCAATTGATTAAACACTTTGATTCTAGTAAGGTGACTGCATCGTAGAATTTTGCAGGTTGATTAATGATCGTGGGTGTTGCTCAAGCAGAAAATATATTGATCGTGGCAATCGAATTATGTTTTTGTTTGATTAGTAACTATTAACACACCAAACATCACACTGCCCGGGAAATTATGAAGGTATATTAGCAAGTTACTTGTCCCGTGCTTAATTAGAGTGGTCATTGATCGCGGCGCCAAGACACAATGAATTAGTATTATTTGCTAGATTATTGATTGCTTGTGCATTATAAATTATTTTCCATTATTTTTGTAATCGTTTTATACTGAATTGAATTTCAATCGTCAGGCGAGACTCCAGCAGCAATGCAAACGACGACCAGTACAGCGAGTCCCTCCCTTGCCACTGGCTCCTGCCTTGTGGCAGTGGCATTGGCTTACATCTTTGCATCGGCGTTGGCGAAGATGACATTGAAATTCTACCACATTAACGATCTTGACTTTAACATCATCATGAAACGCGGTAAGTCTTCGATGTTTAGGGAAACAAAAGCATCCGTCACTGGACAGAAATTGAAGTCATTTAACAGCTACAAACAGTCGGGCGAGAACTGGGGCAGCAACCGCGGAGATTTTTGCTCTTTTTCGTCACCGCGCAAAATCGGAACGCCTTCGGTCGCGATTAAGCCCTACATCTAAGACTACATTGTCTGTATACATGTCAAGCTGAGAAATAGCTTTGTACAGTAACTGTATCATTCCCTCGATGTGATATGAACTGTCTATATATTAATGTACAGGAGAAATATCAATGAATATTCAAGATTTATATTTATAATTGAACAATTGTTTAAATTGTTGTACATAAGAGCCATTTTATGACAGGCTTAATATATAATTTTAAGTTAATAAATTTACTCTCTGGTAAGTAATTATTGACATAGTATAAAGGAAAAACCTTGTGTAGAGATCACGTTTATAAATCCAAATGTACCTATATCCAAATTTAAGTTAAAAATTGTACTTGACGTTTTCACGAAACTAAGAATAAATGAAAGTTTCTTACCTATTATAGTTTAGGCTTGTAAAATAGATGCTGTATTTATGCTTAGAATTAAAAAAAAACTCGTACAAATAAGTAGCTTGAATATTTTGTTTCCTTATAGAAGGTCACTCTGAATGAAAAAGGGAAAAATCCCAATTTTTGGCGTGTTTTCTAGATGTGAAATAGGATGCGTCAAATAAAGTTAACTCTTATAAAATTTGAATTGAAATTCAATTATTATATGCACTAATGACACACGCAAGAGTATTGAGATATTGGATACGGATGAGAAATTAGCTAAAAAAATTTAGGGTGTGACCAGTTCATCAAGTTTTAATTACCCATTATATTATTATATTCCTGCGTGAAGGAAAATTCTTTTTACTAATTGTGAAACATTTTATATCAACTTGAATAACCATCAGCGCAGGAGTGTTGAACTTGGTTACCGCCTGTTTTCAGGGACTTCTTTTCGTGGCCAGAAAAGGACATTATACAATAATTTAGCTTGAACATAAAAGTTTCCGTGTTCAGGACGAGATAATCACACATGAAGCAACCGAAGGATGTCACATGCAGGAACCTCCTACCAGGACTGAGTTCCGAGAGGTTGTCAATAAATTTACTTTGGATTTGGGAGCAGTAAAAATGTTAATTTTTTAGGTAATTTCTTCTATATTCCTGAAGAAGGGACAGCTTATTGTTTGTATTCAGTTCCTGTCTTACTTAAAAAATTGAAAATTATATTGAGTAAAGGTTATTTTATTTCTCCATGTTCTAGAGAAATCTCATATTCTCAATTCGAAAATTGTTTGAGCAAGAGAATTGTGCTGAACGAAAATGCCCAATTAGTCTCCGACATTCTCCAATTTAAAAACCAAAGAGACGGATCGAAATTAGAATGCAACCAAAAAAAGTGCAACAACTTACGGGCACCTGTGTTTAAGAGGAAGCCTACTTTAATAATAATGCCCGCATGAGGTTAATTACAATCTGAAGGAGTATAGGGTTCAGAGGTTCAATTAAACTATAAAGCTTACCAACTTGATAGTAGTGACTGTAGTTTATTATTTCTGCAATTGCTGTTTATATTTTTGCTGCAATAAATTAAATAATAACTAACTTTTTTAATTTCCTCCACCTGATGAAAGCAGTGCCTTGCGATAACTTATAGAAAAAATCACAAACAAGTATACCCGAATAAACAGAGGTTTTCATTACTTTTGATGGCACCTTAATTTCTATTGATAGAGCTCACTGCATTCCTTCATTCCAATAAAAAAACTTTCGGAATTTTCAATTCCAGTCTGCAATGGAAGCTGTATGATCTCATTCTCATTGTTCATCAAAGTAATGAGTCTTAGATTCTAAAATTTTCAATCCACTTTCAATTTGTATTTTACGACAAAGCGATCGGATTTAAAATTTTCAGCTTTCTATTCGGTAAATGAAAGTTGTGTATTCTGTTGTCCGATTTCGTAATGTTAATTTTATCCTTTTCAGGATAAAATATTTTCATCTGAATTTGATGTTCATGCATATTTATATACCTTCGAGTCAAATAATGCAATTACGACACGTATTTTTAATACTGATATGAGCTTACAAAATGTTGCACTGATTGCACTACATTTTCTTAGCACATCAGCGTTCACCGAGAGCCAAGGAAATTAGGAGTTGCCGTTGTATCTTTTGCTTGCGGCTTTGAATACATTCTCGTGAACTGGTTAAAGTATGTCGAGGACTCGTTTCTAGCAAGCAATGCAATGGAGTTATGCGGCCATGCGGCATGACTTTAACACTTCTGGAATGGCCCATAACAAGAACGTGCCGATATTGAGACCGTAGAATGCAGATATAATTTGGCTCAAACCCACACTTCCATTAGATTAAAATGAACGGGTTTATGCCACAAAATTATTCCACAGTGTCATTCCGTGACTTGAGGATGTCAAATCACGGCTGTTCAGAGAGTTGCGACGTGAATATGGAGAAAATCTAATATCAGAACTCTCAAAATAATAGTCTTTTGGTAGGAATTTATTCGGTCATCAATCTGAGTTGAGTTTCTAAAGCGTTTATCTGAATAAAGAGTAGACATTTAATATTAAAAATACAAGTAGTTTCCACACCTTTATCTTTTTGAAACCCTGCTGGACTGGATATCAAGGGACTAGGAAGGCCATTTCGTGGAATATAATCTCGCTAGAGCGATCACGTCACACAGAGAACCAATAAAATTTTCAGGAGAGTCCCAAGTTGCCATTTGAATTTAGGAAAAAATGTCTCGCCAACGCGGATTTTTGGACCTGAAAAGACTTCTCGCTCGGAGATGGATCGTCAAGCCTATCGCAGAAGACCATACTGCGGAAGATTTTACATATTCAGCCCCGTGTACATGAGGTACTAAAGTTTTTACGCGCCTCATGAATGTAAAATTCGAGTGGTATCAGCGAGAAAAACCATAAAACTGCCACCGGTAACCATTCTGTTGGACACAAGTCCTAAGCATAAAATGGGAAAAGAATGAAGCTTCCAAAGTAATATTCAAGATTTTTATAAGCCAATAATGTTATCGTATCGGTGAAACAAACTCTTTGACAAAACTCAATATAAAAATCTTAATGTCATTTGCAAAAAATATGAGCGGAGCGAAGAAGAGAGTTCGAGTTGGGAATACTTTTTTGCTAATTTTTCTATTATTTATCGAAGCGAAGCCACCAGAATAAGAAACTAATAACAATTTTATGCTTAATGAACTAAATACGACACTACACGCAAGTTTTGTCATCAATAACGGATCAAAACTTTTGGAGCTAGAATTCTTTAACATTAACTTTTTGAATTCATTCAGTTTCTTGTATCATCGACGAAATGTCAAAAAACTTCACTTATTACCTGAATTTTCTCACATCTACATCTTATCATTCCTAATAAAATTGTAAAACTTTCTGAGAAACGCAGTTACTTATTAAATTGTCCACATTTTTTTGCACTCCTTGACGTCGAAAACGAATATGGCTTCACCAGTCCTCATTGCGAAAGTCTCATATAGCGCAGCTTTGGACAGTATGGGCATTTAGTGAAATGAAGGCGAAATAAGATTTATTATAGCATAAATAATTTTTCGCGATAATGGCAAACCAAATTTACACTGAACTTTTTAGCCGACAAAATCTCACATAACGACTTTCAATGCTAACCTTCCAATATGTTACGTAGAAATTAAGTTAAACCCCAACCGCAATTATAACATAGTTTGAAAGCATTTAGACTCTAATTCAGCTGCGAACATTTACTTAAATGTACTCACCACTCAAAGGAATCAATGAGTCCTTTTCGAAACTGATGATACCTTTCTTTACACACAGCAGGAGCACAGGGCGGATGTTGCACTGATATGTCAGAGCTCGACCAAACCGAATTTGGACGATTCACGTCAGGTTAAAAAATGCAATTATCTCAATATGTTTTATGCAGTCTCGATCATTTCTCAGAGTGATTGAGCACCCTAAAATTTTCCGTCTTCATGCAGGTTCTTGCGACGAAGACTAACCGCGCTTACATTCCCTATGCATCAGTAATCAGGGGATCGATGTCGCATTTATCACCGGCGCCACGACACCGCAATCCGCAGAACGTCTGCAATTTATGGCCGAGCGTCGTTACACTAGACGGTTCACGGGGCTGCTCGTTTTACTCTCATGATGACGACACAAATTCTACAAATTAAAATGACTGGTCATGTAGAAATATATCTTTGAAGTGAATTGTCTGACATAAACGACATGAGTTGTCGCCACTCAAAATATACTGCACTTAACTCGCCGCTCAAGAAACAACAGTATAATTCTGGTCAGAACTACGATTTGTTTGGTTCGATTACCAAATAATAACTACAACGCTGTTTAGATTTTCGAAGAAATCTTTTGTTCAGTTTTGTTCATGAAATAATGGTTTCTGTTAAATGCCGGCGAAATACACTAGGTGCTGTGGCGACTACAGCGACATTAACGTCAGTGTAGCAATTTAATCAGTATTATCAGTTATTTTAATGTCGTGCATATTTGCGTTATATTCTGTTAAATCGGGCACTTTTTATAATGGAATCCATGATTTAAATTTCCCTAGTCTCAATGACTCAAAATCGAATGCGTAGTGAAGACTTGCATGTACTTTACGACGAGTTTTTTGTAAAGCTGCCATCCACGGAAATGATCGGATCATTGAGCGAATATCATTGTAATTTTTTTTATTTAAGTGGGTCATCCTACTCAGATTGGCTCAGCAAAAAAGCATATCAGCCTGTGGCAAAAAGGAAATTACATAATTTTTGTAAGAATATTACCCGTTCATTTTTCTGGGTGTGCCCACGCAATATCTCTAGGGTATCGCAATAAATCCGCGTTCACTCAACGATCATAGACAGACTCTAGGAATCCTATCAACTGATTGATATCAATTCTTGCTACAAGATTTTGCCTCGATACCAAAGCAGATTCGTTAAGAGATTTGCCCGGCCATCTTGCAGGGTCGTCAGAGAGGCCTTTGGCCGGGGCGTTCATTTAATTTATTTTCATTCACTCAAAACGCAATAATTGCGCTAAAGATCGTTGTCCTCGTACACTTTTGATCGTTTTGCATTACAGTTACAAGCAATTTTTTTTATTTTCACAAAGTTATTTCCAAGTAAAATTTTTCGTTTGAAAAGCTAAAGAAAAATACCAGTGGATATAATGAACGACCTGGCATGGCCTAAGGCCTGCCATTGAGCAGCCGATGGCCGCCGCAATGGCTTCAGATTACAGGTCGCCACGTTGCTAATGCACTCCTGCCGACTCCTGCACTACGGAGCTGAGGACCGCTGTCCTCCACGCTTCGTCTCCCTCGTTGTCCTCCACTCTTCGTCTCCCTCGTTGTCCTCCACGCTTCGTCTCCCTCTCTTCGTCTCCCTCGTTGTCCTCCACGCTTCGTCTGCTTCGTCTCCCTCGTTGTCCTCCACGCTTCGTCTCCCTCGTTGTCCTCCACTCTTCGTCTTCCTCGTTGTCCTCCACTCTTCGTCTCCCTCGTTATCCTCCACGCTTCGTCTGCCTCGTTGTCCTCCACGCTTCGTCTGCCTCGTTGTCCTCCACGCTTCGTCCGCATCATCGTCCGTATCGCTGCCCTCGTGCCCTCATTGATCTCTAAAGCTCTTGTCTCTCAGTTTGTCAGGTGCGTCAGCGCAGCTTAGTCAGGCTCAGTCAGGCTCAGTGCTGATGATGTTTATCGGTCAAAACACTTCAGTTTTTTAGTCAAAATATTGCAGATTTGTCAGTCAAAATATTGCAGTTTTGTCAGTCAAAACATTGCAGTTTTATCAGTCAGAACATTGTAGTTTTGTCAGTCAAAACATTGCAGTTTTATCATTCAGAACATTGCAGTTTTGTCAGTCAAAATATTACAGTTTTATCAGTCAGAACATTGCAGTTATTTTTGTCAGTCAAAATATTGCAGTTTTGTCAGTCAAAACATTGCAGTTTTGTCAGTCAAAATATTACAGTTTTGTCAGTCAAAACATTGCAGTTTTGTCAGTCAAAATATTACAGTTTTGTCAGTCAAAACATTGCAGTTTATCAGTCAAAACATTGCAGTTTTTCAGTCAAAACATTGCAGAATTGTCAGCATTTGATGTCTCGTCTGTCACGAAAATTCTTATCAGTCATTGTGCCTATTTTCTCTTGCCAGGTTTGCTGTTGCCGGGCAAACTATGCATAACAAATTTTCAACCTAATTTGCACAGAGCATTCATGCAGCAGCCGCCAGACTAGGAAAAATAATAATACTTATGTCCTATGACCTACTATCTAGCTATAGGAAACAAACTTTTATAGGGTAATTTTTAGATATGACTCCGCAAAATGATCGGCAGCAAGACAAATGCTTATTTCCTGAGATGTTTTATGAAGTAAGAAGACAGAGAAATTAATTATCAACTCGAACAACTGCGTCGAGCAATGCGCGACCGATAGTGATTGGCAGGAAATAGGACTCGAGTTTAAAAATAGAATAAAGGACTAGTATAACAGGATGACTTGGTCTAAAATTTTACAAATATTTTAACTTC